CATGATCAGAGGTCAGGAAAACAGACCTTACGACGACAGGCTGAGAGCCATGGGGCTCTTCAGCCTGGAAAAGCACAGGCTCAGGGGTGATCTGGTGGCCACCTATAAGTTTATCAGGGGTGACCACCAGGATCTGGGAGAACATTTGTTCACCAGAGCGCCCCAAGCGATGATGAGGTCGAACAGTTATAAACTACTGCAAGATCGTTTCAGGCTGGACATAAGGAAGAATTTCTTTACTGTCTGAGCCCCCAAGGTCTGGAACAGCCTGCCGTCGGAGGTGGTTCAAGCACCTACATTGAACACCTTCAGGAGCCAATTGGATGCTTATCTTGCTGGGATCCTGTGACTCCAGTTGACTTCCTGCCCTTCGGGCAGGGGGCTGGACTCGATGATCTTCTGAGGTCCCTTCCAGCCCTAATGTCTATAATGTCTATGAAACCTCTATGGACATTACACAAATGCATGTAAATCGGGACAAAAATATGTTTTGAAATCAAATTAGTGAATGCTTTAGGTGTTTCCCTTTTAGAATATAGTTTGGTATTTTGCTGGTTTCGAGATGGCACAATGCCTTGCTGAAAGGAGTACTTCTGGGGGCAAGGGGAGGAACTTCTGGTGGCCAAGTTCAGGGGCTAGGGGGTGGGGACTTCCGGTCACAAGATGGTGACCAAGGGGTGGGGCACCTGCCAAGGGGCAGAGCTACCCATGCAGCCTTTGACAGCTTGCCAAAACTCAGTAAGTGGCCCTCTGCCTGAAATAATTGCCTCCCCTGGTTTACGTGGCTGACCTCAAAGTGCAAGTGGTGGGGGTAGCGTGTAAGGCCTCCCTGAAATGGTGTCATTCATGATGGGCAGTTGGCTAATTTGTTATAATTTTCCATGCATAGAATCTAATTATTGAAGGGTTGTCTTAAATTCGTTCCTCCTACTGCTGCAGCAGGGAAAACAGAAGGGCTGTAGGTGCTCTTAGCTCTGGCTCTCTTTCCTCCAGGGTATGCTCTTAGCTCTGGCTCCTGACCAGCCATGCTACGGCTGTAGCCACAGCTCCAGTCCTGGGATGCTGCTGCGTGGCTGGGCATGGAGCGTCCATGTGTCTTGTGTCCAGGAGGGAATGGAGCTGGAGCTGTGCAGAAGTGTTACCAGGATCTCTGATCTAGTAGCAAAAGAGCTTTTTGGCTGACTTCCTCTCTCTTCTCTCCTAGTACTACTGATTTCCTTTCTAGGCATACAGGGTGATAGTTCTGCAACACACACCAGGCTATCTAGGATTAGATGCTCCTGTTCTAACTCTGGTTGTAGCCAAGAACTTTAATCGATTGTGAAGAAATCCCATGAGCTTCTCAAAAAGCTTTTAGCTACAATAATTCATGTTGCATTTACCATTGTCCCCTGGAGAATTGATTCAGGTTTTTGCCGTTTCCTTTTCAATCAGCTAGGGACTAAAATGTTAAATATACCTCCAGTCCCGGTGATGCTGTACTTTAAAAGAGTCCTTGGTTTGAATTACTTCTCCGTTGAGTGCCTGACTGCTACATCTTGGTAAATACTCAAGTCATGTTTGTTTGGAAGCAGATAATGATCTACAAATATTTAAATTTGCTTTGTTGCATGTGCGTTCCCTTTGAGGGGAATTTCAAACCAGTTTTCATAGGGTTGCACGCTAAGCTGACCTGATAGCTTGGCAATTGGGAAACGGCAATGTTGCTTGCATTCCCAGAAAACTGAGCCTCTAGGATGTGGCTCTGTTTTTCAGGAATGATGGCAGGTTGTATCACAGGGTGCTGCACAAAGTGGCTATAGCACAACTTTCTTGTCTAAAGTCACTAGTGCAGAGGCCAGACATTTCAGGGTGGAGAGGGTTAATCCTCTCCCAGAATGTGGAGATTCAGAGAGCCCCTCATCTCCTGTCCGGATGGCTCCTTTATGCCTTGAAGGCATGGAAGTCCCTTTGGATATAAACCATGTAATAGTTAGTTCAGCAAGTGGGGCCTCCATGCAGTCCCTGCACAGCTGCCTGCTCCCCATGCAGTTCTTTCTAATTTTAAACCCCTTTCTCCTTGTAGCTGTTCCCATCAGCCGAGCCCACCGGCCCTTTACTCCACGTTCCAGCACAGACCCCTGCTCAACTACCTCAGCCAGCAGGACAAGCACCTGCACAACCTTCTCAAGTTGCTGCCCCTCCACCTACTCAGGCTCCCACAGCAGCTCCAGCAGCGGGGCAGGTAAGGCTGGAAACCTTTCATCCCAGCATGCAGTTCAGTAGTAGACCACCTGTGTGAAGTCAGTCACCTGAAGAGCTTGCTAATGTCATGAAAGCAGCTTATGGTGAACAGCATTTTTTGTTGCTTATGGGCTAAATAACTCATCTTGGTGGCTTTGGGGGGGTGTGCAGCGGGGACTTGCTCTTCCTTGGAGCTCCTTATCTTTTGGGGTCATGCAGTGACCATGTTTTGCTAGACTCTGAGGAAGGAATAAGATAATAACAGACGGCGGAGGAAGAACTGCCTTGTTTCTGGTGGTTAAAGAGGAACATTGACAGGGCTCTGAACCAAGCAGACCTCTTGGTAGCATCAGAGCCTTGAGGGGAGGTAAGAGGCTTCAGAGCAAGGCCCAGTCAAGAGAACGTGTCTAGGAGGTAAAGAAGTAAATTGACTTCTTAGATCAAGGAGGAGGACCTGCCAAAACCAACCATTCCTGGGATATTTGGAACTTGTCTTGTGGTTGGCTGGCTTGCAGTGCAGCTGAGCTTGCCAGACTACTGAATGGCAATGGTGCATCCATATAAAAGACAGTAATGTTTGTGCTTGCAGTTGGAAAAAGGCATTTAATGTTGGAGAGGGCAAATCTGGCATGATCTGTGGGCCAACCCATGGGGAAGAGGTTTGGTAGTTAGTCATAAAACTAGCACTCTGGGCTTCTCTTTCCTAGAGACTTTTTTCACTCAACCCGTCTTCATTTTATTACAACCCATTTCTGACAGCCTGTTACTCTCCTATAAAAATAGTGGAGTTCAGAGCTGATGTTTGCTTGGCTGCCTTGCACTACAGCTCTGGTGCTTGAATCAGAGCCACGGACACCTCAATAGGGCATTTAGACTCTAGTTTTTCAGGAGTGTTGAGGGCTGGTGGAAACACCATTGTTCATTGTGAGCGCAGCCCGTAGTCTAAAGGAACAGCTCTTGACTGACTGCAGTAAAACCATCTAATTTCATCTTAGTTTAGTTTTAACTAATTTCATTTAATTCATTGCATATGTCAATGATAGAGCTTGGTGTAACTCCCCATTTCTCAACCAAGAGCTAATTTTCAGCTTATGCAAAAGAGGGAGTGTGTTTGAGATATGAAAAGGACTCTGGGAAATTTTCTGTGCTTAAAATTGTCACCCGTTGCAAGTTTAAAGCCTCTTGCTCAGCATGTGAAATACAGACCAAGACTTTGACAATGAAAGAACGAGCTACTTATTATTAAACAGTATATCCATTTGCTTAAAAAAAAAAAGACCACTAGGACTGTAAACATCTGGACACATGACTGAACTGAGTGAAATAAGACCAGACAGCAGGCACCAATTATTACTCAGTCTTTTCAGGATACAAAACAGGCAGCTATCAAACTAGTTCTGGAATATTTTTAAATCCATTCAGTTGGATTTCTGTAATCAGACATTCAGCATGGTGTGTTCAAATAAAAGCAAACCATCATCCTAATAATGTTGAAATGTTTTCTCTGAGTTGTAGATAAAATAACACTCCATCTGGTTTAGGAGCACAGAGGTTCCATTGCAAGCTGGGTTTCCAAGTCATCTGGGCACTTTTGTAAAACTTTGCCCTGTATCTTTAAAGAAAACCTGCCAGAGAATTTGAACCAGGGGATGGGGAATCTGTCATGAGTTCAGAAATCTTAAATCTGCAACCCTGCCTTAAAAATTACCTCAAACTGATGCAGGAAAAGCATTGGAAATGACTCCAGAAACCTCTAGTCTATGTCCGGTATATCTAACAGGAAAATAAATGCTGTACTATAGATTTTGCCTGGAAACAGTTCAGACAAGGCCATTTATTCTAAACATTACTCTGATACAGTTCATCTGTCCTCTAGCTCCCACCCTGTTCTGGTTTTCATTGTGCTGTCAGTACTCCGGTGTTGTATGGTATCCAGTACGTGTGTGTGTATAATGCGTTAAAAATGATTCAATCCTATTGTAGGTACCTCCTGCTCCTGCGCCTGCTCCTGCTCCTGCTCCAGCACAGGAGGATATAAAAGTCCCAATCAGTCTTGTACTAAGGTTAAGGTAAGCCCACTGCTATGAATTGGGGGAACTGTTAGAAAAGCAGGCTTTGTAAACTAGTGGACCGGGCATGAGCTGCAAAGTTAGAGAATCCCTGAGTTTTAATCTTGGCTTAGTCACTAAAATGGGGAAACTGGTTAAATGACTCAAGGGAACCCCATCTGTAGAATGGGGATAAGTGTGCCTACCTACTCAGATGGGTGCAGTGAAACTGGAGTGTTGACAAAGTGCTCTAAAGTGTCATTGATTTTTGTAGGAGGTCACCCTATCTGCCTCTCCCCTGATTGCAGTGGACTGCAGTGGCTGGTGCCATATGTTGCTTGCTACCTTGGAGTTTATCCCGTCTCCCTCACTGGGACTCAGAAAAGCATCATTTGACCCCCAGCTGGGAGGGCCAAATTTCTCCATACTAACATTCCCTCCTATAAGCTTTGTGAATCCTAGAGCCTGAAAGGTACCCTGGTATTTGTATGGTCCTTTCCAAACTGTGTGTGGATCAAGCAAGACTGAATTCTGGGATTCAGGGAGTCCTGGGATCCTGTGTGCCTCGTTAAAGAGGATGGCATATGGCAACTCGGCTCACGTGGAGGGTCTCAGCTGTGGTGGAATGCTCTGTTGCCCTGCTGGGACTTGCGTGAGTAGCTGCCAGCAGTTTGCTCAAGAGACCCGACATGGAGTAATTAAACAGCTCTGTTTCGCTTATCCAGGCATGACTATGTAATTGTGGTAAGCCTGAAAAACACAACCTTTCTCCAGTTCAGCAGATGACAATATCACCTTATTTATAGCTTCCTTCCCTAATGTAGATAGAGCCCCTCTAGAGCTCTGGGAACATGAAAGACCTACTTAAAACACAGGATAAATTGGCAATATTAACAATATCAGTAAAGAACTGCCTTTGCCTCCCAAGAGGCTTTTGCTTTGGCTGCTGGGAGAAATGTGGTCTCGAGATCTAACTCTGGCACAAATTTGGTGACAGCATCAAGCAGATGGCTTAATCTCTGTGCTTCACTTCCTTTCCTACAAAATGGGGGTACTTTCTTACCTCACAAGGGCATACTCCCTTGCCACCATGAGTAGGTTCAGATACAGGAGAGAAGCTCTGGCTGTGTCAGAGCTTGGCAGGGCTCATGGAGGAGGAGATGACCACCCCACCCTCTGCAGGGACTGTGTGCTTCAAAGTTCTGGATAAAGGTAGCTGGCATCTTTTGAAATGAAAACATCCATTTACCATTTTTTTAAAAGCTGAATCTTGAAAGAAGCCTTTTAACTGGACTTCAGAGCCCCTTAGCAGTCTGGAATGAGCTCTGCGTAACACTTGCTTCTATGTCTTTAAATTCTTGTAATGCTCTGTTCTTTCCATAGAAATTCAAAGAAAGAACTCAACGACATTCGGTTTGAGTTTACCCCAGGGAGAGGTGAGTAGATGGGAGGGTGGAGCCCACCTTTGTTAAAAGCGTACTTTATATCCAGGCATCCATGATACGGGCATGGAGCATGCTTTTAAAGTAAATCCTTTCTTGTAAAACTATGAAAACTTGACCCTCAATAAGAACCCAGCTCAGAGTTTGACAGTGTGGTCATCGGGCAGCTAGAGATAAGTTGTCACAAGCAGGCAGCCTGCTTGGATCAAGGTGGAATGAATAGCAGCCTCTGGCTTCTTTACTATTCAGTCCATCTGGGAAGAGCGCAGACCAACTGCAGATGCATCCTTAGCCTGACAAAGGATAATTATACCCGAAAGCTTGCAAAGAAGAATTTTTTCCAACTATTTGAGTTGGTCTAATAAAAGATATATCAGATTTACTCAAAGAACCTTGTCTGCCTATGTCCTTAGACCAACACTGCTACAACCCACGCCCCTGAAATAGGGTTTCATAGTTTCTAGGGTTGGAAGGGACCTGAGCAGATCATCTAGTCCG